CAGCAATGAAGGCTTCGTCGACGACTGCCTGGACGTGTTCCGTGGACAAAAGACCGGCGATTACCACGAGGAAATGGATGGCACCCGCTTCGAGAAGGGGTTCGATGGTGTCCTCGACTAACTGCCGACAGGAAGCATTATCGTCATGGACAACGCTTCTTACCATTCACGGCGGTTGGAAGCAGTGCCGACGACGAGTTCCCGCAAGGACAGCATCCGACAGTGGCTGACGTCTAAAAAAAATTTCATGGGACCCCAAGATGCTGAAGAAGCAGCTGCTCGACATTGTGGCCTTGGTGAAGCCACAGCACCTAAAGTATTGTGTGGACACTGCTGCCGAGACGGCTGGCTGCACTGTGTTTAGGCTCCCACCGTATCACTGCGAGTTCAACCCCATTGAACCGATATGGGCCCAGATCAAGAACGGCGTTGCTGCCCGAAACACAACGTTCAAGATCGTCGACGTGGGGACACTCCTCAACGAAGAAGTTGGCAAGGTCACCACTGACAATTGGCATAATGCTGTGAGGCACGTTATTGACACTAAAGCAACGTTCCGACGAGGCGGTGCCACAAGTGCCCACATCCAGCCCATCGTCATTCAGCTGGATGGAGAGGACACCCCATCCAAGAGTGACCTGTCTGGTGTCGAGCCCCTTGACGAAGCCTACCGCCACCATCATGGAGAAAGCATGGAACATCTCGGAACACAAAACGGTCCTATTAAGGACCACTCATATGCTTTAAAATCGGATTTTTTTTCGTGTCCACCACTGACCTCCCGTGTCTCATGTTGTCATGCTTCTCTGCTGGTTGCCGTATAGCATTTCGATATGCAGCCACCAGACAAACTTTTTATTTTTGTTGCGATAATGTCTAAGCTGGTCTATACAGTGCACTGTGCTATGAGTCACCAGTGTAGATTTCAACTATGCAACAACAAAAGTTTGCAGCCCATCTATGGCAAAGACATCAGATGCCATATTGGCCCTTCCCACTGTCTAAACATCTTCGCTACGCAACAAATAGAATTTTAATTGCAAATAAGCTCTTTTTTCTCTAAGGAAAACGACAACAGATCACTGCCAGTGCTCTGCTTTGAAGCATACATGGAACGTCTGTGGCAATTCACGAGACTGAGGCCTCTGGGAATAACAAAACCGTGTGTTAGCACAGCAGAGAGCGAAATTGCAGTACCAGTGCTCTGTTTCAATGTCTAATGGGTGCGCCTGTGGTCATTCACATGACCGAGGCCCCTCTGAAAATAACTAACGTGTGTCAGCACTGTGAGCAGTTAACTCTAACTGCCAATGATCTGTTTCGAAGCATATACTGTTTTTGTCGGGGGCCATTCACACGATCGATGCTGCTCTGAGAATAGCAATAACGTGCGTCGGCACTGTGGGCAGCTAACTCTAACTGCCAATGATCTGTTTTGAAGCATAGACCGAACGTCGGTGGCCATTTATACGACCAAGGCCACTCTGAGAATAACAATAACGTGCGTCAGCAGTGTGGGCAGCTAACTAACTGCTAATGATCTGTTTCGAAACATAAATGAGACGTCTGTGGCCATTCAGACGACTGAGGCCACCCTGGGAATAACAATGCCTTGTGTTAGCAGGGTATTGTTGTTGCCAGGGAACCGATAGGTAATCGTTGCCACAGGTCATCTTACGCGATACGCTGAAACGAAAGTCCTTTCGTATAGGACTGCGGTTCAAGTTGCCAAGTTTTTTTGTTGAGCCTATTGTTCTCCTTCACAGAGCGTTTGAAATCTTAGTTACAGACCAAGGAACTCCGTGTTTCGTGCAGCTGACGCAAGGTATCATTTGGCTCAGCCACACCAGCCATCATCGAACCACTACTTACCACCTGCAGACCAGCGGGCTAACGGAGCGGCTTAACAAGACTTTCGCCGACATGATGTATGCCGACGTAGAGCACAAGAGATGGGCAAGGTGTTGCCCTACGTCTAGACTAGCCGACTCAATCTCCCGATGACAGCGCGCACTCTCGCTAGCCAACCAACGCTCCGACATTCGCTTCTGCTTCTCTCAACGCTCTTTCTTTATTTTGTTTCTGGCACAGGTTTGCTGATTAACCCTTTATTTTAGCTTTACGCTTGTTGATTTGTTTTAATGTGCAAGAACATTTCAATGTATTGTCATGGCTAAGGTGCCCATATTTTGAGTGTGCATACTAAAAACAATCCCTATGAACTTGATAAGGTTCTTCCTGAACTTCTATCCACTGCTCCAGCTAATTTAGTTTCAATCTACTGCACTCATTGTGCGATCAAACAGATATGAAGCAATTTAAAGGTAATGTAGCGCTGAAAACACGTGGACTTCCATGCTACTTAAAATAGAAACTATTTTAATTATCATTATAAATTCGGAGCTAGCTAACTGACCGAGCGCCGGGATCAGTTGGAATGAGAATGGCGGTTGGTCAGAGCTTCAGCCTCGGGACGCGCGTGTTCATGCCCCAGTGGTCTTTCGCACGTGCAAAAGGCGCACTGAAGCTTGTCGGCGATGCTTCTTCTTTACTGGCATCCGTTGGGTCTTTTGACGGCCACAGTAATAACTAAACAAGAGTGTAACATAAAATAAACCTATAGAGCTGGCCATATAAATATGTTTTTGGCAACACTCGAGTATCCTTGGTAAATCTCAAATTTGAGACCTGCACTGGAAGAGTGCCTTCCCTTAGCACGCTGATGCACTGCGGCAAAGCAAAATGTGCAACATTGTGGTGTCCATTTTTTGTGGTTGTCGCTTCACTCCAGTACACCGGTGCGCAGCGAGAGGCGCACTCAACAAAGCTAGCTAACCTATCGGAACAGATCAAGCACACGAGAAATATTGGAAAACTTCAGAGTACTTTCAGCGTTTAATAAAGAAGAAATCAAATAGTACATACTCAAAACTCATGAAAATTCGCACAAGCCCACTATAACAATGTGGCATGTAGCGAGGCCTGAGCTATTATATTTTCAGTATCAAGTGATATTTACTGTTGGCACAAATTCCTCAAATTTTGGGAAAATGTGGCAGGGTAAGCACTTTGGCACAGTAATCACATCCCTCAGGTGCGGGTTTCGAACAGTTTATTGACACCAGAACTCTCATCATTTTTACAGAATATAGGATAAACAAAGTGACAATAGTAATTATAACTCTCAATTTCCTATTGCACAACCAGCAGAACAACACTAAGCATCAAATGCAACAAAACAAGCCCCTATGTACATCAAAAACCACTTATTTCAACATTCCTATTCTTGAAGAGCAGCGGAATGTGCCCGGTGTTGACAGCACCACATCACCCAAGCAGCCACGGGTAACTTTTAGCAAGTCTCTTCTAAGCGACTGCAACGTTCCACATTCAACAACTGGAGAGCCACCAGCGATTTTGCTGTTGTGAAGATGTCTCCACACAAGATTGTATGCTGTCAAGCCGTCCGTGGAAGCCAACGTGACCAGACATCAGTTTCTTCAGATGACAGAAAGGGTTCGAGCATGGGAGTTTAGTGTCAATGACGAAGTTTGTCTGTTGAACAGCCGACTGGCAAACGAGTGACTAAAGGCTACTATCTCGTCAAGGAGTGAACTTACAAGCTGCAGGTACAAGAGAACTATGACACTGTCATCGCGCATCGTCACCAAGATCACATCCGGCCTGATGCTGACCAAGACGAAGAGACACCATTTCGGAAAAATTGGGTTGTGTGTATGTTTATACAGCTTAGAACTTGGTCTGCATCAACGGGCAACGAGGCTCCCAGCTGTAGATGAGAAATTTAGCCAGCGCAGAGCAAACGCTAGCCTGGGGTCTTTAACATGCATCACGCAGTAGTGATAGACGACCGTACGCTGGTACGATGCTCATTGAGATTAAAATGGAGACAGCATTTCCTGTGCAAGGAGGCAGAGTTGATGTTTGGGTAGTTGAGAGAAAGGTCTATTGAAACAGCAGAACAGTGGTTTTTAAGTACAAAACGAGCGTGTTGGTAACGGTAATTAGACATGAGGAAGATACATAGAAAGGGGGGACGGACAACGAAGGCTACTATCTCGTCAAGGAGTGAACTTGGACGGCACTGAAGTGCGCATTGAGAGGGCGTCATCACTAGCGGCTTTTTTTTCTTAGCGGCTGGTTTTTAGTTCTGAATTAGAGGACCACGAAGGTTGTTCAGGTAGCAGCAAACTTGAAAGGTTTGCTCAGCTAGGTCCATCATTGTGATGGGGAACGGTCTGTCGAGAATGTGAAACTGTTTAATTATGCCAATCGCACGCTCAACAATGACACGAGCACTTGCTACATGTCGGGTGTGCGAGAGCTCATTCTCAGCCATTTGCGGCTCTCCAGGTTTCCGGAAGCAAGGAATGTGCACTCGCACACCCGGTGGCAGGTCATTGAGTTTAAAACCTTTGTCAACCATGATGGCATCACCTGGTTGAAGCTGTTCTAAGAGCCCACTTTTCTCAACGATCACGCGGTCAGACGAAGACCCTCCCCACAGATCTGAAACAAAAGAGATGTAACCGTCGGGTGCACAGCCAACAACTGCCTTGAACGTATTGTAGTGTTTATAAGATGAAAAGGTCTGCCGCTGGGCCGCTAGTGATGACGCCCTCTCAATGCGCACTTCAGTGCCGTCCAAGATCACGCGCGTGTCAGGGAACTTCAAAAAAGCGGCAGGCAAGTGGCCTTGCAGCTCTTCACACGTTGGGAAACGCTTCAAGGCCTTCAACTGGTGGTGCAAAAAATTGATCCAAGTTGCAAACACCCTACTGAAATGGCCCTCGGAAATGCCGAAATTCCGAGCAATTTCCTTTCCCGACATTCCGGTTCGAAGCCGAACCAGCACCATAAAAAATTCCTCTTTCGGCTCGAACTCTCGCGACCGACCCTTTTTCTCGCCCGGTGACCTCCTGTTAATGCCCCAATACTCCATCCTGGAAGCATAATACGCTAAGTAGTCGTAAATCCCCTCAGAAATCTCAATATCTGACATGCCCGTATAAAACGCACAGTCTTTCTTGCTTTTACAGATCATGTTTAGTGTGAGCTGCCTGGACAGCAGGTCGTTCACTTCTCTATTGAGGCGGGCATTCTCTGCCTGCAGCCTCAAAACCTCTTGCTGCAGCCTTGCAATCTTGAGGTCTTGAGACTGCAGCATCTTGCAAAGCTCAGGTGTCATGGTTTCTCGTTTGCTGGGTCCTGTAAAAAACGGAGGATAATTAGGAGAATTTAAAGCAGCTTCAGTGACTGGGTTTTCTGCACCTCCATTTGATGGAGAGCCTATAAGAATCATGTTCTCATATCAACTCAGTACCCTATAAACCCTAGCACCACAAGCGAGAACTGCAGTACCTTGTGGGGAGGCGGGGGCAACCGAGGAGAGTGGCTCCTCCACGCAGTCGCCCATTGCAGATTCTGGTGGGGACAAACATTCATTGTGGATTAAGAACAGCGACTTTGTAAACCAGCTGAGCACACAATGACTGTAACAAGAACAAGGCATGAAATGCTCGCCTATGCCAAAGCCGTCTGCCTCATTTCAACTCTGTGCTCTATAAACCCTAGCACCACAAGCAAGAACTGCAGTACCTTGTAGGGAGGCGGGGGCAACCAAGGAGAGTGGCTCCTCGAAGCAGTCGCCCAGTGCAGATTCTGGTGGAGACAAACATTCATTGTAGATTAAGAACAGTGACTTTGTAAACCAGCTGAGCACACGATGACTGTAACAAGCACTAGGCATGATAAGCTCGCCTATGCCAAAGCCGTCTTGCTCATATCAACTCAGTACCCTATAAACCCTAGCACCACAAGCGAGAACTGCAGTACCTTGTGGGGAGGCGGGGGCAACCGAGGAGAGTGGCTCCTCCACGCAGTCGCCCATTGCAGATTCTGGTGGGGACAAACATTCATTGTGGATTAAGAACAGCGACTTTGTAAACCAGCTGAGCACACGATGACTGTAACAAGCACTAGGCATGATAAGCTCGCCTATACCAAAGCCGTCTCGCTCATTTCAATTCAGTACCCTATAAACCGTAGCACCACAAGCGAGAACTGCAGTACCTTGTGGAGAGGCAGGGGCAACTGAGGAGAGTGGCTCATCGACGCAGTCACCCAGTGCGGATTCTGGTGGGGACAAACATTCATTGTAGATTGAGAACAGCGACTCTGTAAATCCGTTGAGCACACGGCGATTGTAACAAGCACAAGGCATATGATCGCATATGCCAAAGCCGCCTGCCTCATTTCAACTCAGTACTCTGTAAAGCCTAGCACCACAAGCAAGAACTGCAGTGCCTTGTGGAGAGGCAGGGGCAACTGAGGTGAGTAGCTCCTCGACGCTGTCGCCCAGTGCAGATTCTGATGGGGACAAACATTCATTGTGGGTTGAGAACCGCAAATTTGTAAACCAATTGAGCACATGGCGACTGTAACAAGCACAAGGCATAATATGTTGATCTAGGGAAACATATTTATGCTTTAAATAAACACAAATATACTGACAGCCAGTAATTGTGACAAATATTTACTGAAACCCAACACTCCAAAAAAGATTCAATAAATCAAACTGATGCTTATACCTTCTCCATCCCCGCAGCTGCTTGCAGTATCTGTGGATTCTGGAAAGCAATACATGTGATTAACGAGCATAACAGTTTCAGCCTCTGCATTATTTCACGTCGTACCTGCATCAATCTCAGACACACTGGGGCACGAGCTTCTTTGGCTTGGCTCACCACTGGTCGCAGCCTCTGAAGATGATACAGATAATCAAGTAAATATATTAAATGAGTTAAAGTTTCGAAATTGCATAAAGTCTCTATAAACACCACTACTTATGAACATACACACATGAAGGTGCGGATTTCGAACAAGAAATTTATTAAAATTTACCTAGCTACTGATGCACACCACTTTTTACATTGTATGATGCAATGGGGCATATTCACACGCGACTAGCAAGCGTTGCACTTTTTGTTCGTGATCATCATCATGGCGTCCGTGATAGCAGATGGGCAGATGGCAGTGTCCGCACAGCTGCATGGGCCACCCTCAACGAAATGGCCACACTACGCAGGGAATCTTTGACCGTTTCAGGTGACATCACGCATGAAAACAGTGTCGCACTCGAAAATGAAGACCGAGAACAGCAGGCATTGCTGGTTCCTGGTTTTTGCAATTTCCTAGAGTTCGAACATACGAATTCAAAAAGGCTCGGTCGCCCTCCGTAAGGAGGCAACGTGAATTACTCGCGGTCGCAACAATGGAGAAAACCTTGACAAAGATTTCGACAAGTAGAGTTTCGGGTAAGTGTCAGCACGGATGACCTACTTGCAGAAACAAAGTTTTATTTTGACAAACAAGATGCTAGAGAGACTGGAATGGAAGTTCCTTACCGCAGGAGCAGCAGAAAATTGGTATTGAAAGACACCACTGCTCGTGGGCACGCATTTCTTTACCTGGCAGAAATCTTGAAGTCTGTTGTTGCCCTCAGCTGTCACTGCAAAAAATCTAACACATTGCACGTTCTCTCCTTTGGCTCTTTTTTGATTGATTCGGCATTGTGCAAGCACTATATTAAATTCGATGAGTACAGTTCCGATTGGGCAAGCGAGTGCAAGATTGGGCAAGCGAGTAGAATTACTCGCTTGATGCAAGCGAGTAATTCACGCTGCCCACTCAGGGAGAGCGATTGAACCTTTGCGCGGTTATGTGTGTTACGATTCTCTGGATCGGAGTCCGCAATGCCTGTTGTCCTAGGTTTCCTTTTTCAAGTGCATCCTAGGTCCCCATACCACACCCGACTGCCACAAGTGACACCGTTTTTGTGAACGGTGTCACCTCAACCAAAAAAAAGTTTGCCGAGTAACATATAGCTCTTGCGGCTGTGCAGGCGCTGCCATTTGCTATCACAGGCACATAATTGGCGAAGTACTCAGGGTGCACCGTCTGGTAGCCATGTGTGGATACGTCCTATTCATAGCTTGCAACTGTCAACATTCCTGTGTACTGCCGGCTATTTCTACATACTGATTCCTTCATACTTTGCCTGTTCTGGTTCCGCCCCTGCCTCCACATCACAATACTAGAAGTGTTTGTTCTAGTGCTTGCTATTAAACACGCTTTCTCTGAAATGAGAATGACTTACAAATGGCCAGTGTACTGTTTTTGATAACTTGCCGAAACGAAAGAACAACCCTCACGACAGTATTTCTTCGCAGTAAAATCGACCCCAACTTTGAAATGAAAACCACACCAATAATGTAAATAGTTTTTTTTTTAATTTTTTGGAGGGGGAGAGCTTTAGAAGTTCAAATCTCTCGTGACAACTTTACAAATTTAACTTGACATGCTTTTGTTTTTCTTCTTTTTTGTTGATTAGAGCATCGTTGGCTCATTCACGCCGGCGATGTAAGTAGTCACGCGATGCGACTAGATCGTATCGCAAAAAAATTAGATTAGATGGCGTGCGCGATGAGCGAGTCCAACGCCTTCGTTGGCGAGTCGCTTCTCGAAAACTCTCGCTCCGAACGCCGTTGACTGGCTGAGCCGCTCTGGTGCGACTAGATCGCGTCGCAAAAAGTCGGGTCAGCAAGCGACTGCTCAAATCGTGTCGCTTTTTGCTCGCGATGAAAGTTATCGCGCGACTAGATCGCATCGCCGGTGTGACGAGGAAAGGTTCTCACCTTGGGTTGATGATCTGGAGGACCAGCGTTGAAACCGACCGAGGGCTGACGGCCGTGGACGCGAGTAGCTAAACAGTGTAGGGACATAGTCCGGGTGTGCCTTCTCTAACGCCGGCTTCCCTGTAATCGAAGAGATGTGATCATCGCCGCACTTCGCAAAGCTCTATCGCTTGCAAAAATGACAAGTCAACTTACCTGTAATAAAATGGGCGCTACATAGTCTGGACAGCTGACTCGGCTTCCAGTTCTTCGAGGGGTCGGACTTGTCAACTCTCCTGACTGCACGAATCCAGGCTGCCCGCTTAACGGGATGAAGCTTACCGCACGGAAAGCGAAAAAAGCTAGTTCCACAACCCGGGCGCTAATAGTTTCGACAGCCGAAGGCTACACAGTTCACCGGCATGATTGCGGTGCACGTCGTTATCTAGAACGGGCGTCGTCAGTACGATCACTCGTGTTCACCTTGTTCGCAACATCAAAACTTGAGTCTCGATGGTCTCCAAGGCGCGCAAAGGCGAGAAAAGCGAGATGGCGGATTGTTTAGAACTAGATACTCTCGAACCCAGGCGCATCAAATACTCCGCGCATGCGCACCGCGTATTTCAACAAAAGGTACATTCACAGAAGCCGCGTTTAACTCAAAAAGTAAAGACGGCAACCTTAAGTTGAAACGGCATTGTATACAAATAAATGCCTACGGCGTCGGCTTGAGGACCCCTGTAAGCAGTTTCAGCCTTTAGAGTGCTCGTACCGTTTATCTTTCTTTTATTAGCTTCCCGGCACGAGAAGTCATACCGCAGGCAGTATGAAGCCCATTAGAGGAAACACCTCCCCCTTCTGGCGCTCGTCGGCTTCTTTCTGTATCCCGCGCTGCGGCGCTGATCCTCAGTGAGGGATGGAGGCGAAAACGAAAGCGGCCTTATGTTTAAGCCAAGGTCGTGGGGAAGTCCGGAGCGTCTTCAGGAGAAGCTCAGACCCAGACTACACTGTACCCAGGGCATTTGCTTCCGCTCTCAGTTGAGAAGAAAAGCAATTGGTCACCTGGTTGTACAAGCTGCATCCCCCCCTCCCCCCTGGAACGTCTCCTCCTGGTACATCCCCTCCGCACTTCCCTTGGCAATGAGCACACCGTGCCAATAAGATACCTTTAGTGAGCCCGTGGGCGACAGCATCTCAAAGCAAGCCAAAAAAGACATGCCAAGAGACAATCCCAGAACCATGAAGAAACCATCAAACGAAAAGTGATGAAAAGGCGGCCGTTGGAGAGGAAGAATAATCCGCTGCTTGGCGTCTGCGTTTGGGAGCTTTCAGGGCACAAATTTTTCGCAGACATCCTCCAAAGAGAGAGAGGAAGACTGAGAGAAAGAGAGAGAAAGGGGACTAGATATGTTGAAGGTATTTCCCCCCCGTGCTCGACGTGCTGGCCTTGTTTGGAAGCGTGCCAGCAGTCGAGGACCCTGATATTTGGTTCGCCTCCCCACAGTCTCTCCACTTCGAAACTCCTGGCGCGTCCCTGTCGGGAAGACGTACCGTGACCTTGATGGAGATAAACCCCACTTTGGAAGCACCCAGCAGGCGCGTCCACCCACCGCTGTTTTAATCTTTTATCCCTCGCGTCGATTGGTTACGTTTTTTCTTCGAGCTGACGAAGAACCCGGGGGGGGGGGGGGGGGTTGCCCGGCGAGGCGTTTGGGGGGGGGGGGGGGGGGGCGATCGCCCCCACCGCCCCCCCCTTGGATCCGCCACTGGTGAAAACTGAAGAATTGAACATATGCAAAAGGTAACCTTTGTACCACCAAATACTTTACTAGTAAAGTATTTCGTTCTACCGTGCGAGCGAAACGGAACCTACAAGCGGGAGCATGCTGCCCTGAATGACTCTTCCAGTGAAGCGCACGTGCTCGATAGAGCGATTAAAAGCACGGAGTTCGCTTTTACAGCTTTTGGTACGCTCAAACTTAAATTTGTTTAGGCGTGAAGTGTTTCCGCATTTAAAATACAATCTTAATTAATGATATCATTTCTTTTTTTAAATAAGTGGGCCCATGATTGTTTTCTGTTTATCTTTTGCGTAAACGTGCCATTTTTAGAGCGCAGCTCTTAGGGGCCCGTTCCCGGCTTGAGCGGCGTCGCCGTCGGCGTCGGCGTCGCCGTCGCCGTCGCCGTCGCCGTCGGCGTAACCAAGGTCATCCCAAGGTCACGTGACCCCCAAGGTCACGTGACCCCTCCCAAGGTCATCTCAAGGTCACGTGACCCC